CTATCTGTCACTGTTTCCATTGTATCTATCTACTTAGTAATAACAATAACAATAATGATTAGATAAAAGGATTTATCGTACGCGTTGACATCACGACGCATCACTAATGTTGCGTCTTGACAAAATTATTAATGTTCTAAAATTATCTTGTAACAGCCAATTAACTATAACTTACGAACGAACGCGTGCGCAGTGTTGTCTGTTTGTGCAGCTTCTACAGCCTGCGCTGATTATGTGGCTATTCATAGAATACTAATTAAATCACGTCAGAAATTACTGATGCCTTATAAAACGTAATATTTTTTCGAGTCGTCTACGTACGCTAAATTAAATGTGTCAGGAAACAGTAGAGTACCCTCGAGTTAAGTATGTGATCGCATTACAGATGATGTTTGTCGTGAGAGGTTGGAGGCCACTCAGGCCACTCAAAATATTGTAATTAGTGTAATGAAATAAGTATTCGCGTCGTAGATCGCGTGTCCTCGCGGCGCGCGGCGGCGCCGGCATGCGCTGGCGCCGGGCGCCGGGCGTCGCGACGCCGCCGCCCGCCTTGTTTGCACATCGCGTATGTTCTCTATTTACGCGAGTACGTTTTCGCATTATTTCAACAAACACGTACCAAATTACGAAAATCATGACGTCAACAAATATCCGATCCGACTCGTGTTTCTGTTTTACGACTGCGCTCCGACCTTAGAAGTCGTTTTAGCGAAGCGAGGAGAGAGAAATGTTAGGTACCTACTGCCCAAACAACTCACAACGGAACTTGCAAAAGAGTAATGCCTGTAATGCGATAACTAGATATTCAACTGTTGCTTAGGTTTACATAAAGAGCTAAGTGACCCAGTTAATCAAAAGATTAATGTTTAAGGTAATCAGAAAGGGTCTGGCGCCACCGCGCTCCTCGGTGGGCACGCCGAGTCACGCCGAGTCACGCACAGTTCGCACCACTAACCACTCGCTATTACTCATGATAAGCCTACCCACAAACCGCATTCACCTAACACTGCCTCATTAGCCGACATTAAAATAATAACGGGTGCGCTTGCGGCCGACAACCATCCCTATTGAGACCATTTAAGATAAGAGCAGAGAGACGGGGCTACACTACAAAAGTAATCATATGCAACGATCCCGCGGTGCAGAGAAATATATTTTGAATTAACGATCATCCGTGTCCAGTCCTGTCTACACTCGACACTTGAACATCGAGCGGCGCTCTTCGTAAAAAGAGCACTTAGACTTCAAAGCATTTTACGCAGTAAACGGCGAAAAAGGCTGAAACAAAATGATGCGCCGAGGAATGTGTTGCAGCGAGAGACACCGATTTCACAAAAATAAAACGTCGATTGTGCTCGGCATCGTGCATCGGCGTGCACAAAACAAATTCCTCGGAGGCACTTGCTGTGCACTGAATTAGATACACTCGTGATCGAGTGGTGAGGGGCGCGCTGCCCGATGAACCGTGAACACCAACTGCCGCACCGCACCGCGCCACCGCGCCGCTGCCGGCGCACTGTGACGTCACATGCGGACTCTACACCTAAACTAACTTTCAGCATTACAGAGGTTATCTTAACGTACAGTTTTTTTTCTCATGTATAAATATAGAATTGATATTATTTACGATAATGAGACACTTGACCTTTGCATGTAACTCTGATTAATTAGTTCATTTTACTGCAATATCAATTCATATAGAGAACATCATTTTCAAAACTTACATTATAAAGTCAACGACTGCAAACTAAAATAGTAATTAATACATTAACTACTAAATGTAAATATTTGCCAGTCATTCGCGGAACACTTACCTACCCATGTATCATATATTAAATTTTATGCTTTATTCGCAAATCTGTCAACGTTTTCAATTTCACTTTTATGGACCTCTGATGCAAACCGTTATACTTGTTTCCATAGATTTGGATGACACATCGGCTTCTAATCTCTACTATGTACAATTCGAACCTCCATGCTCAACGTGTTATATATTATCGTATGTAAATAAGTTATTCGTGCTCAAATATGTCCAAGTAGTTAACGACATAAAATTATCTTCTCAGCGCCAACACGACACCAACAAATCGTGGTTATACAATTCTGAAAACAAATAAATCAACTCAATTTCTTTGAAACGTATATACTTAGACATATATCGGCTAGGAATAACTCTTACTTCACTAGCGTTGCAGACCATTCCCTTTCTGAAGGCATGAAATTAATGTAGTTTATTGCGGCAACACCTGGCTGGATTTCAATTAAAAATTATCCATTTTACTGTCTTCACAGGTTACTGGAGATTTATTAAAAGCATAATAAAGTGTATTATTACAGCAGCCGGCAGACGGCCAACTGGAGTTCTCACAAAGGCAACTGTGAATCAGATTTGATACGTTTTATAGTTACGAGCCTCAGATAGACTTTACGGCCGGCTTACAGTTCCGCCATGCCGAGAGGTAACTGCTATATACCATATCGGATCACAATTAATACATTGTGCCCGTATTGGGCGCTACACTCCACGAGACATTGTGCAACGAGTCTAGATAGAAATAGCTGCAGTAAATTCTTCATAACATTAATCGTCCGTAATAGAACCGCCACTTTTGTTTACATATCGTACCGTAAGCTAAATGAATCTCGACCACGGACAGCTATTTAACGTTGAAAGTGAAAACACTGGCGAGACATTTATTGGAGTGAATATATCACATTTTTTCTTGGAATATGACTTAGTAAATATAGTAAAAGAGCGCGTACGTTGACATCGACGATATTTGTTCGCAAAAAATGTGTGTTGTAAGTTGTGTTCGCTAAAAAGGCGAGCAGACGGCGTCGCGGCGACGGGTCGACGGCCGAGCCCGGAATAACCAGCAGCAGCAGCTATATTTGCAGCAGCGGTGCGGGCGCAGGGGGGACCAGCGCGTGCCATTTCTGCACCACCGCCCGGTGCATCTGAGTAATGCCATTGTAATGCTCTCGATATAGTCGTAATGAGAGGACGCGGCCGGGCAGACGCGGCGTCGGCGACGTCGCCGCTGCGGCTCAGCCCGCGGCCCGCAGCCTCCGCACTCTCGCACTACGCTCCTCGTAAATCACTATCTGTCGCCACTGGCTGCGGAACACAACAGATCCCAGATAACGACATGCCAATAATTCGACAGCGTTATTTATGTTTCATTCAATTGATTACGAGTTTACGAGTAAGTGGAAGATGATGATGAGCCGTGCCGGGTGCAAGCGTGGTACCCGCGTCCACATGTAGCCGCTATACCTAATGTATATTGATGAGCCCGCTCGTGGGAGCCGCGAGCCGCTACACTGTCATTTGTCATCGCCAGTTCCTGTCATTGCGCATACGCATACTTTCTTATTTTCTGCAATTACCTTTTAAAGTCGGCAAATTTGCCGATTGCGTTAAAAAAATATACTTAATGGGATGATGAGCGGCGACAATCAAGAATTGCACCCGACCAACAGCCGCAAGCCAAGTTAACGTCGCAAACAGGACGACGACTTAAATGTCATAATGTACTTTTAATGTATAAAAACTAGTTGCTTTAAAAATATCCATTGACTTTGGATATCTACAAATTAGTCCTATAATCTTGATTCGATAATTAATTCAATATCATACCTACTTGGGTTTATTAACTAAAATCGTAGTATCGTGTTACACTCGCGAAGCAGGTCACACAAAAATGGCATATTAATAGCGGCCATCAAAGAGACCACACTTGCAAAAAGTCCATAAAGTTGTATGTCGTCCACTCGATTTCCACATGTGTGGATAGTTTTCGCGACAGATGGCCCGTGACTCACTAACCTGTTGCCGGCCACATACGTTTCCAATGTAATCAACATGACAATATTTATAAATCATTTTACACCAATAATAGATGAAAAAACAAACGAAACACGTCTATTAAGACAAAATTAAAGACTTTACTAGCTATTAAACGACCGCTCCTGTTTGTTAAAGTTTAGGATATTAAATGTGTAATGTGTAAGCATGACATCAGCGCCGTGTTGCCATGAACGTGCTAGTCAAAATGACATCATTAACGAGGAAATGAAATTGTCCAAATCACTATGTTCACGTCACGTGGAGCGTAATGAGAGGCGCGCTCATTGTTGTCATAGCCTCTCGAGTGCAGTTCTTTAGAGATGCAAATCGTGTCGTGAGACAGGTCGCAGTGAGCACGGGCCCATTGTGGCCGCGGGCGGCGGTACAAGCGCGGAGGTGTCAGGCGATCACCTCACTTATCTCTTATTTCATTATCACGTTCAAGATAATATTATCAGGCTGGATATCTACGAGCGCGCCCGCTCCCGTGACGACTCCGCCTAATTAAACAGTCGCCGACCGAAGTGTAGCGGGTCATTAATATTTTTCAAGTCACCGTCTGGATTGGCCGCAGACCTATTGCTATCACGATGCTCTTTCACGGTTGTTACAAAGACTGCGAATTTATATTTGTACGTATCTAAATAAGTTGTCTCGCTGTCATTTATTGTTAAAAGGCAGAGGATTTAAAGTGCTAACAACAACAATAAAACCCCTCGTTATAACTTAATACGTGCCTAATACTAAAACTTGATTAAGACTCGAGGTATTTAAAAGGTTACTTTTACGATCATTGCCCTTTCGAGAACACAGTGAATTATTAAACTAAATGACAAATGAGCTAACGCATTCTTGTTATTTTTATAATTTTGGGTAAATATTTTTAGAAATGATGTAAGCCTACAACCAATTGAACTACCGAGAAGACTTTAGGAGCATCATATCAGCCATATGACTCCATGAATTAGGAGTGTGATTGAAAAATATGCAACGTCACTATAATGAGCAATTCCTAATCTAGAAAAAACACCAAATGACTTCAAGGACTTGCTTGGTATAAATTATGAGTGGCGAGTCGTGAGCTGACCTTTTGTCGGCAAGGCACAAACACGATCGTATCAAATGGTGACAAAGAATAAAATTTACTCACAGTTGAGGTCCCCGGGACATGTCTTGCAACATCTGCCGGGCAGTAGGACGGGAGTGTCACAGGATGGTTCGGGACACTCGTTCTTGATGTTCCGACAGTGTACCTTGGCTACCACCCGCCGTTTCTTTTGAACCTGCAACACGGTACTAGTATAGATCAACACTTCTTGTTGTCTATAATTCTAGAACAAATTGTTACTAGGTGTAGTCTGGAAATACGTACCGCAACACACTCACATTTGATGCAGTACATCACGCCGAAGGGAGGGCCCAAGTCCGCAAACCACTTGGAACCCAGCTCCATAGCTTGTTTGCCGAACAAACATTCTGAAACAAAGAAAGGCTCGATTAAATTTTAAGAAAAATTGAATATGATTGTGTGCTTACAACACAATATAACTAGGCAAAGCAACCCGAAAATAGAAAAAAGCTCGTGATTAAGATATAGCTGTGCGAAACGTAAGGTTTGCTGAGCTAATTAATTTCAGGACAAACAATAAAGAACTAACTACGCTTTCCACAAATAACTAAGAATTTCATAAAGAAATAACTAAGAATCAGGATATTAAACCCCTATTTGTCTCAGAAAAGATTCTACTTCATAGGTATTGCAAAATTTTCAAGCACAAAATCAAAGAGATCAGAAAACGATGCAATATAACACTCAGTGAGAATACACAGCGATAAACAGTATGTACGTAAACATATTGAACGAATGATTATTTTGCTTTCTGTAAACTCTAAACAAATATTTTTCCATAACATTACCTACCATTATCTGTTGTATATGTAAATAGAGATTTAAAACCAATAAGGTCCACCGTATTCTTGCTCGCTAGATGGAGCTAGTGTGAACCTCTCGTTATTCGTCCAATACGAAATGAGCTAGTGTTACACCATTAGACGTTTAATATTTGATAGGTGCTGTGATTGGACAAAAAAACTTCTTACAACATTTGCGCCGTCTGATAATACTTTTAGCTGATGTTATAATAGGTTACTAATTTTTACGTAAGAACTTTTATTGCCTTTGTACACTTGTGAACTTAAGGAATTAAGAGCTCAAAAAATCATATAATGACTTCTCCGTGTGAAGCGGGAGTGTCAGACTCTTAATGACTAAAAACCATCCCGTTCCTACTCCTGCACTTTGAGCCCCGGGAACCTTTTACGTTCTCCGCGCCTCCGTATCAGCATCAGCCCTATAGGGCCCCATTCGTGGTAGAAGGAATTAAGAGATCTAGAATCATTTAAAAATGTTATGCCAAATTGAAATAGAACTATTCCTATTGAGTATTTAAGAGTTAGTTTACATTACCTCACTCCTATCTCTCCTTAAAAACAGACTTAATTAATAAACTTCACTTAACCTTTTGATCTCTTGTGTATTTACAATCATTTAAATACATAACAACACATTAATAGTCATAACGGTTTACGTTTTCAATTACATCGGACAGTTAAACAATAAATATGTACCATAGTAGATATTCTATAATTCTATAATCTTTGATTTATAAGTTAGCAGCTTCAGTGCCAAGCACAGGTTAACTAGGTACATGTACCCAACTCGTGAGCTAACATCTAAAAATAAAAGTTGCATCGTAGTGTTAAAATGAATGTAAGTTCAGATGCCTGCATGCAAAATGACACTTGTATCTATGCAATGGTCAGCCATGAGACTTTAGTACTATTTTGCATTAGTTAAAATTATACGTTTCCACGCTTTGGTGGTCATATGAAACGTGTGTACGGCGTATAATATATTTAAGTTACCAGCTTTTTATCCGCGGTTTAGTCTCGTCAATGGAGAAAAGTTAACCCATTATTGCTCTTCAGCTTCCTTACTATCCTCACACTTTCCTGTTTTTAATATTAGATAGATCAAGATTGCAGCACTTTCCATTTACAATATTGAATACAGATTAATTAAAATAAAAACGTCAGTTTACTCATGTAAACTTGAAGCTTAGAGAAAAGCTCTACTAGTTTCGAGTCACACAGGGACTCTTCTTCGTAAGCAACGTGCGCGAACACAGCAACGTCACGTAGCCTATTCAAAAATTTTCTCGTTATTTCGAGAGAGAAAAAAAGAGTTTTTAGTTAATTTAGTTTCATATAAAATTTAGATTTAAAAGCAGATATAAATAAGACGAATTAACGAGCTCAACTAAACAAATTAATAAATACATCAACAATTTAATATCCAATACCAATTTTCTATTCTTAGCAAACCCTAGAAAAAGTTACTGAAGTTAATCAAACCGTTTTGATTAAAGTCGTTCCTTACATGGCTATATAGTCGGCTTTACTCAATATTTTTATATAAACTAGATATTCCATAAATTGGTTAATTTCTTAGTTCTGATGTACCGTAGTTGCCCCCGCTTCTCTCTGCACCCCCTTTGATCCCGCCTTTTTAATGTAAACTTCGTATCCATATCATCATCATAGGGGCTTACAACAACAATTATGTGGAAGCTTGATCCTTCCTCGAGCCTTTTGTTTGAATTACAGGTCTCTTTCGAGTGGTCAGACGAAGGCCATGTAAAATATACCTAAGGACTTCTGTAAAACGTACAAAATTGGTTGATCTACTTAGGAATGGAAGGTAGAAATGTGATGCAGTGTAAGTTAAAAATAAGGAACTGTTAATGAGTGATAGTAATTTAGCATCAATAAAATCAATGCAGTTTAATAGTTATGTAAGTTTATCCCGTAGCAAAGCGTCAGCAAACGATTAGGTGTCGCGGATAGATTCAGTATCAGATGCGTCGGGTCGATAAGGTGGCCGGCCTCTATATATAAGCGTCACTGTTATCTCCCTCTCGTAACTATTTAATTAACCTCACTCCCGAGTGCACTGATAACACATGAGACATGTTGCGTGAGAACATATTGCTCTTGGTGCCCATTTACAAGTAACATTGTCGTTAATCTAGACGGAATTTAAAATTCAGACAAAGCTTTTAAAATGTTGCAAGCTCTGACATTCTCGGACAGAGTGACATGAGCCACATTTCGCAGTAAAAATATATACAAGTGAAGTGGACAGCTCAATAATGGAAGTGGAGAGTATAAACTATGAACATAGTTGTGGCGAGCGACGTCACGCGTAATGAGGAAGAAGGGTGACGCCAATGATGCGCCGGCGCGCGGCGACCCATATTCAGGATGCAACGATCAATACGACGCTGCCGACGAGATACGGTCGACATTATCTTCATATTTTATAACAGCATTTGTGCGTGTAGTGTCAATTTCATTAAAATTGAAAGTTATGAATGCAGCTCAAGAAGAAAGTACTTGTTTATTATTTTTTTCCTTTCATGTGCGCGGAGTGCCAAAAAAGCATTATTTACCGTGTCACACCTACTCGATCGTTTGCGAGTCGCGGGCGCACCGTCTCGCCGACACAGGCGCGCGTCCACACACACCACCTATTTTATAAGCCGCGCGTGTTTCTGGACTTTCAATGTATGTATATAAAAATATTATCTCTGACATGATTTAGGCATATAAAGTGAGGCGAGACATCGCGTAACCTTCCTTTCGTTTTCTCGGAAACGTTGGCGATGAGCCAGAAGCGCTTCGCCAGGGAAATGAAGTATTGGCGACGCCCGTCTTATGCTTCTTTCACGATCTGTTTATGGAATGTACTCGATACGACCCGCTGTTTATTTTGAATTTATCGTTCACATATTGGAAAATTTCACATTTTCGGACGTAGGAAGGTAAATACCAATAAGTCATAATAACTCACAGCCAACAGCGGTTGGACTAAACATCACCGCATCATGGAAATGTAAAATATTTGAGTCGTGTTTATGAAAGTACGTATATCATTAGTACTTTTTATCTTTAGCTACACATTAACTGATACTAAGAAATCATGCAATTCGTACATAAACAAAAACAACGTGCCGGTTTTTCCCCAATGAACATTGGGATTGGACAGTACCATTTTTAGAAGCCAGAAAAGCAATGAATTCGAAGATGTTTAATAATGATAATAATTGCATCGTCGCCAGCATGTGTACGTTCACATATTCGTGTGTACAATGTCTTGGAGCAATTTGTAATCTCCAGAGCGTGGCGTGTTCAGCCGGTCCCAGGGTCAGCGCATTGTGTCACAGCACCGCATAGATCACGATAAGTATGAACTGCATGTCAAAGCAGAAGTATATGGTCGGCTCATTGAAGTGTGCACAAGTCGCTTCGATAAATCCTCTACATAAAAGGGTTGAAAGAGGCGTGCGCCGTATTTCAGCGCGCGTGGGCAGCGCATAAATTGTTCGTTCTGAATTAGCCTTAAGCAGGATATTTTGACATTCGCACCGGCCGACACGCTGACTAGTTTACACTCGTGCGCCGACTGTGAAAATACTTCACGATGCGATACCACCGCAGATTACCATTCATCATCACTAATAAATTCAACAACACTTCATCGGTGTTTCGGTTAACGAGTTGAAGGGTTGGCTTTCTTTTTATAGTGTTACATACAAAACGCGTTCCAGTACCGGACCGCGTACATTGTAGAGTGCGGTGCGATGTGCGATGCAGCGGTGTAGGCGACTCGCCGCAGATCAGACAATTTGCTTTGATCACTGTATCAGTGTATCATTAGATACACACACCCACACGCTGAATGATTGCTCATTGTGCCGCCCCTTGGCGTGCACTCTATATTACGTATACATCGGTTGTGACGCGATCATACCCAACCCACGACTGCTAACTATATGTGCACCACAGCTCTATACCGACTCGTTCTTTATTTGCGCCAAACCGAGACATACACTTATTTGGTATCAAACAATAAAGTGAAACTGTTTGTTGCCTTAACTTAGTCCGCGATTGGTTTCAATGTTGCCTGTATTAGCCAAATTACAAGAGCGAAGTCCTCGAAGCATATCACCTGCGTTCCTTTTACGGAAGTCAATGAGACGGTTTATTTTAAATCCATATTAAAATGTACAAAAATAGAGCGTCCTATTTTAGCTCGGCATTGCATGGGATTATTTCTGTAGGTCGGCTGACATCGTCTCATGACAATCCCGATAAGTTAGTCAGGTCTGATTGTAAAAATAGTGTGAGTGGTGTGATTCGGTAGGTGTGGTCGTCTGCTCGTCCTCAGGTGATGGAGAGCGGCTGCGGCGAGACGCGCGCGAGTATTATGTAAAGCGCGGAGTATCGAGTGTCTCCGACAGGTGTCTATCGTCGTAATAAGAATTACTGTGGCACATTGATCTGATCACTCGCTCCAATGAATCAGCTGAGACACTGCTATTACGCGTTTAATAATCACATCAATAATGTGTATGAAA